GGGTGCTGGGAATTGAAGCTGGGTCCTCTGCAAGAGCAGTCAGTGCTCTTAACCGCTGAGCCATCCTCTCCAGCCCCAACATCCTTTTTTTCTTAAGTAGTTGGTGCCTTACTCTAAAGAAAGGTGCAGCAAATCCAGATCCAAAATACACAGTCATCATAGTCAGTAACCACCACTTGTTTTCTGCTGAAAATGGCAAATTCTTCCCAGGGCCCTCCTCATAGTGGCTGCAGAGGACCACGGAGGTGGTGAATCTCCAGATGCTCTGGCCCAAATAGCTCTGCTGGAAGCTCTGTGAGGGGTTCAGAGACCTAATGCAGAAGAAATGGTCTTACCACCAAAGTCTCCTTTCCTCTCGACCTTGCTATTCTGTATGCCAGAAATATTTTTTAGTACATTTAAATTTATCTTGTGTGCATGTATGTAACTGTATGGCATGCATGGAAGTCAGAGGACAACTTTTGGAAGTCAGTTCACGCCTTCCACCATTTGGATCCTGGGGAATTAAACTCGGGTGCTCAGCTTGGCAGCAAGCCTTTCCCAGCTACACCATCTCATCAGCCCTTACTTATTCTTTTACTTTGGCTTGCTGTACACTTAATAATTCACTCATTCAAAACCAAAAGTATGGCTATCACAGATCTTTCTCTAGACTGTACAACACAAGTAATAAAAGAACTGACTAGCAATTTTTAAGAAAGCCCTTCCAGAAGCAATACGGTTATTAAATGAAAATTACAGTACCAGAGGTGGGTTGCCCCTATGAGCTGTTGGCCTGAGGGACACAAGAGGTTCCCAAAACAACAAAGGCCATTGCTAGTAATGTTGGTTGTATACAGGAAGTGGATGGAAAAACCCTATTGCTGAAGACACTGCATGATATGACTGTGAGATAGGGAGAAATCAAGCTTGAACTAAGCTGGAAAGTCTTGGCCACTGGATGTGTGGCTTTCATGGTGCCAAAAAGCAACACACAGATGACTGAGGGAGAATAGGCCCCCATAATTCTCCTCAACAACGGACCCTGAATGTTGCACTACCAACATACCAAACAAGATGTTCCTGCTGGTGCAATAGTGGAGCGTCTAGTGTATGTACAACCAGCAAATTTTCAATTGGATATAATGCCTGCTCCTAGGGGTAGAACACACATCTGGTACTGTAGATCCAGTCAACCCCCTGTGGCAGGGGAGGATATAGGCCCCAGTGGGAAGTCACTGCAATTGCTTTGTTAGATGGAAATGATGCACCTGCTAAAGTACTGAATAAGCATTTGTGTTTACTGCCATAGGTTAAGTTATTATAACAGTCACTGTTTCGATGTTCTTGCTTCTTGCTGTGTGGGTTTTTTTGTTTTTGTTTTTGTTTTTTTTTTTTGAGACAGGGTCTCCTTGCAGCTGTCCTGGAACTCACTATGTAGACCAGGCTGGCCTTGAACTCACAAAGATCTGCCTGCTTCTGCCTCCCAAGTGCTGAGATTAAAGGCGTGCACTACCACGCCTGGCACTGTGTGTGTTTTTTATAACGGATGAAATCCCACTGAAACTGACCAACAGCCCATGAAAAACAGATGATGCAGAGACCCGAAAGTTCAGTGCCTGGCCACAATGGAAGGAAGATCATCCCATACCTACCACCCCCTCCAAGGCTCAGGGACTTTTGTGGAAGAGGTTGGCAGAAAGAATGTAAGAGCCAGAGGAAGGGGTGAAGTGTTAACTGGAACTGTCCTAAGCACTATGCCTGCAAGCTATAGTCACACCTCCTTCCCAAGCTCATCAAGGAGTCAGGAGGAAGTCAGTTACCCCTCCCACCCAATCAGTCAACCTTAACTACATGTGGGGGGAGGAGAAAAGGATATATAAGTAGAGATGGTTGGCTCCATGGGTAAAGGTATTTGCCATGAAAACCCTACAACCTGAGTTTGATCCCCAAGACCCACATGATGGAAGGAGAGAAGTGACTCCTGAAAGTTGTTATGACCTCCATATTCTCTCCTCTCTCTCTCTCTCTCTCTCTCTCTCTCTCTCTCTCTCACACACACACACACACACACAATTAAAATGAGAAGCAGCAACAACAAACCCCTCAAAGCTCTAAAATTAAAATGGCAATATTTGCATAGGTCTGTGACTATATCAAAGCTCGCAATTTTAAATTGTTTTTTACATTTATTTCCTTTGGGCTGAAATGGAGGTATTGGTAGAGTCATTCCCACCCCCCTCTCAAGTCTCTAGTAGAGAACTCATATCCTTGCCTGTTCCAGCTTCTAGAGGCTTCTAGAAACCACCTGTGTTCCTTGGCTTGTGGCATATGCCTTCATCTACAAAGCCCCAAATGTAGCATTTTCACAGATCTCAGACACTGAGCTTCCTCAATTGTCCCCTGTCTGGCTGTGACCCTTATGCCTCCCTTTTTGAAGGCCACTGCAATGATCAGACATACCTGGAAATTTCTGGAAGACCTCTCAAGGTCTCTAACTCAACAGCATCCTCAGTGGCCCCTTCATCACTTCAGGTCACAGATTCAAAGGTTTCAGGGATTTAGATGTGAGACTGTTTCTTTAAAAAAAATATTGGCCAGGTGTGGTAGCACACGCCTTTAATCTCAGCACTTGGGAGGCAGAGGCAGGTGAATCTTTGTGAGTTCGAGGCCAGCCTGGTCTCCATAGTGAATCCAGGACAGCAAAGACCAAAAAGAAAAAAAATTTATTTATGTAATTGTTTATGTAAGCTAGGTGAATCCAGGACAGCTGTGGCTACAGGGAGACCCTGTCTCAAAAAGATCAATATATATAGTTGTTTATGTGTATGAGTATTTTGCCTGCATGTATGTAACTGCACCACATGTGTACAATGCCCATGGAGGCCAGAAGAGGGTGTTGGATCCCCTGGAACTGGAGTTACAGATGGTTGTTAGCCACCATGTGGGTGCTGGAAACTGAACCTCGTGCAGAAGAGTCAGTGAACCATCTCTACAGCTCCTCATCTGTTTTCTGAGACAAGGTCTGGCTATGATATCCAGGCTATACTTGAACTCATGATTATCCTGCCTCAGCCTCCCGAATGCAGGATTACAGGTGGGCAACATATCCTTCAGCCTTTGGCTGACGTTTTAATTTCTGCAACTCCACAGCTAATCATATGCCTGGACTCCAATGGCTAGGCAGTCAATAAGAAGGGTGGCCAATGATATGGAATGTGAGGTTTTAGACAGATCTTGAAACTTACCAGTTAGGCTATGCTGGCTGACCATCAAGCCCCCAGGGATGCACTTGTCTCTTCTAGTGCTGTGATTACAGTCATGAACACCATATCCAACTTTTTATGTGGGTCCTCAGACTTGTGTAGCAAGCACTTCATCAACTAAGCCATGTCCCTAGCTCCTGCCATCCTGTTTTTTAAAATTATTTTATATTATTTTATGTGTATGAGTGTATTGCCTGCATATATGTGAGTGCACCTGTGTCGTGCAGTGCCATGGAGGTCAGAAGAGGGCATCGGATTCCCCTGAAACTAGAGTTAAGGATGGCTTGTAGCAGCCATGTGGGTGCTGGGAATCAAACCCCGGTCCTCTGCAAGAGTAATCAGTGCTCTTAACAGCTGAGCCATCTCCATTCTGTGTTTTGAGACAGGGTGTTTCTATGTAGCACACAAGGATCTCAAACTCATGACAATGCTCCTGCTTCAGCCTCTGGAGTGCTAGGATCTCAGACAAGTGCCATCCCTGCCTGGCTCTGCCATTCTGACTTGTAGCTAGATTTAGTTTAGTGGCAATGAGTTGCTGTCTTAATCCATGAACTCCCTGAGGTCAGGGACAATGTCCCCACGGGCTGCTGCTTAGCATTTATGTCCTGTGGACATTGCACAAAAAGGAATGGGGATTGTCTGTCATCATCTATAATATGACTTTAGGGAGACGACATCATCTCTGAGGTTTTTATTTTTTAAATTATTATATATTATCAATTTCTCTTTTTGTGGACTCTAGGCAGGTTCTCTACCACTGAGCCAAGCCCCTCCCCTGCCCCTCACTGGAGGATTCTAGGCAGGTTCTTTACTACTGAATCAACCCCCCTCCAGCCCCTCACTGGGGTATTCTAAGCAGGTGCTCAACCACTGGGCTATACCACAAGCCCTTTCCTAAGAGATTCTAGGCAGGTGCTCTACCTCTGAGCCACATCCCTAGCCCCTCACTGGAGGATTCTAGTCAGGTGCTTTACCACTGAAGTCACATTCCCCATCCCCTCACTGGAGGATTCTAAGCAGGTGCTCAACCACTGAACTACACCGTCAGCCCTTTACTGAGAGAGTCTAGACAGGTGCTCTACCTCTGAACCACCAACCCCTCACTGGAGGAGTTTAGGAGAGCCCTCTGAGATTCTATTGTATCTCTAAAATGACAGTAACTCAGCTTAGTTACCTATTCACCTGTTGATTGCCAAGCGCTATCTCGAGTGCAACCCTCCATTTTACAAAAGAGAAAAACTGAGGCATAGGGGAATTAATCACTTGTTAAATTAGCATCCAGGCAAGAGCTTTGGTAGGTACCCAGTCCAACTCAGACAACTGAGGAAATCCAAAGGCGAAATGTGAAGTAGCCTTGCAAATTGTAGGCGCCTAGGGTGGGAGTCTCGGTGGTGGCAGGGTGAAAAGATCTAGGTCTCGAGGATGGGTTTCTGGAGAGAGCTGGCTTTGAGCGACAGACAGGTGGTGGTGGCTAGGCTGGACCCATCTCGGGGTGCGGCCCGCCCCCTCCCTGCCCCACCCCCAGAGCCGGCGGCCGCGGCCCCTTTAAGAGCGGTCCTGGCGCCCCCTGGCGGTGGAGCGCGGCCAGCGCAGCGCGCGGCCGGAGCTGGAGCCGGAGCCGGAGCCCGGAGCCCGGAGCGGAGCCTGAGCGGAGCCGGGGCGGAGC